TTTGAGCATTTTCAGCTAGTAAGTCTAGGTACTCCATTGCTTCATTAGGGTATTTATCTTCAAAAGTTTCATTGCATATCAATTCCACCATTTGCCTATCTCTAGGTGTTAACCCTTCATAAAAATATGAAATCAGATCCATGTTTTAAAACCATGATGAGGGAAAGTATGAAGTAAGTCTCGATACCTATCCCAACATTGATAAAATGTTTCTCCTGGTTTTTTTTTATGAAAGTGATGATTTTTCTTTTGAAAGAGTTTCTTCTGTGAGATGGAAAAAACTTCTATAAAAATTATTGTTGTATTTCATCCTAAGCACGAATGGATCCTCGTCTTAAATTTTATAGCCATGTTTTAGCTTTATCTTTTAATGAAAAAAGGAAAAAGCTTTAATCTAATTGTGTTTATGCTACAATTTAAGTTATTATAGGTGTTACAAACCTCCTCAAATTCCCTTAAATGTAAGTATGAATTTTCTAAATCTAAGCTATGAAAAGAAGGTAAAAGTTGAATAATGTTTGGCTTAAAATTGAAATGAGATGCATCAGGAGAAAAAACTATACATGAGGGTGCACTTGTTCTTATTAGATTCATGTGGTTTTTAAGTGTTCTAATACTATTATTCTTATTATTTTCATTATGAAGCGATTAGTTATCTTCTTCGGCCATATTTTCTGAAAATGATGAGGATACCCTACAAAGTCTACCACTTAATATACGTGACCAAGCTCTCATGTACGTGTAAGAAGAGAATAAAAGGAAGAACAAAAAAACAAAACAAAGAAGACAAAGTTACATACAAGAAAAGAGAAAAGAAAAAAAGAAAAAAGAAAATAAATACTATAATTTATACAAAAGGTTTCCTCCTCGGCAACAGCACCAAAAACTTTACACGATCAAAATATTGATGTCTTCTCTCAAGTGCAGGAATATCAAAGTAATAACTAACCCGACAAGACTAGAGTCGAACCACATGGAGGCTAACTATATAAATTATAAACAACAACAATAATAACAAGAAAAAGTTAAAGAGGACATTGAGATTGCAAACTTAATATGAGGATTAAAGAATAATAAAAATAAATGTCAAGGTTAGAGGATCTAATAATGGTATTTCAAACAAGTATAATATAAACTTTTTTTATTACTTAATTGGAAATCACACACAAAGGAGGTTATAATCAGATTATAAATCATTAACATGATTACATTAGTTATCTTATTTGAATAATGCTAATACTTGTAAATGTTGTCAGGTATTCATTATTATAACTTATGTTAACAATAAATCAAATTCCTTTCATAGCACAAGTATCGGTTACACCATACAATTGAGTTATGAAAGTGCCAAGTATTTGTTGTACCAAGTGTTGTACAACATAAATCTAGATTAATCATTTAGCAAACAAAGTATTAAGAGTGAACAATATGACAAATATAAAACATATTAGTAGTACCAAACATTAAAGTTCATATTGAGTTTATACTATACTTTTTTTACACCATTATTGTAACCTTTTCACCTTAACATAATAAACTTAACTAAATATAATGAAAGAAGCAAAACATAAATAAACAAGATAAGAACATAAATAAGATATAAGTTAACTAAGTAAAGGAAATGAAATGAAAAGTATAAACAAGAGATTAATGAAAGCAAAACTTGAACATTATAAAAATATATATAAAAGAAAGCTAGAACATGATCTTGATTTGAAAACTAAGATGCCTAAATGCATGACAAATGCCTTCTTTTATAGGACAAAATTTAAAACTATTGATTTCATAACTAATTGTTAAGCGGGTGACCAACTCTTGACTTGGTAACAATCCTTATCTTCTTATCTAAATAAAATGTCATTGCTAACGTCAGAATTTGAACAGACTTGAATCATAAAAGTTCTAGAAAATTGTCTCAGCTTTCTATCCAAAAAAATATCGAAGTCATTTGGATTTTTAGAACTCAAGATATGGGCTAAATACTAAACAATGTCTAGGCTGTAGGACATATTTAGATTTCTTTGTTGTTGCTAAGATTTGAACTTTCAAATAGTAAAATTAAGTCTTGCATTCCCATAAATATTTTAGGCCTATATCTTAGCTTTCCATCCATATATAGCAAACCTAAATCCAAGTTCTACAACTCTAGATATGACCTAATAATTGAACAGTGTTCTAGTTTGGACAAAACCAACATATTTTTTAAAGCTTCACCCTCTCTTTATCTTCTCAATTTCAGTAGTTGAACTCATCAATAAATCTTTTGATTTATGTGATAGGCCTACATATAAAATAAATATTTATTATAAATTAAAAGTATCTTATATTATTAGACATGTTATTATAAAACGTGTCATAGTTAAGGAGTTATTGATATTTTAAGTGTAAAATGATGATATAAAATCTTGATAAAATATATTTTTAAGAACTAATCAGTAATTAATTTTTTATACTTAATTATTATCAATTTCTTTTGTTCATTTTATTTGTTATTAAAATCTTTTTTAAATCATATTGTTAAATTAATCAATTTCATTAAGCCAATAAAATTAATAATCTAGACATCAATTTTTTTTTTAATATAAAAAAGAATTTATATTAGAAAAATTTAACCTTATCTACATTATATCATAGAGCACCCGTCTAGTCTAATTAATGTCAAGGCTAAGCTATTTAAAAAGATAAAATAAAATAAAATAAAATATCGTACTTGGGGAGGGGATGGAATACCGCCAAAAAGGATAAAAATGGTTCCGAAACTGTACTGTGTGGCAAATAATAAAACAATGGTGCGCAGCGTCATCCATCCTCTGCTCTACTCTTCTTCCTTTGCTGCTTCTTCATCTTTTATACGCTCCGAAGGAAATCTTCGTCTCTATTCTATAAATGCACCATGGCTTCTCTTGCTTTCACTCCAACTCCAACCCCAAAACATGATCTCTCTCACTCTAAAGCTAAACCGACAAAATCATACAATAAAGTAATTAGAAAACCACTCCATCTTTCTATGCCTCAAATCCAATATAAAAACTGCGAATCTAATTTGCAGCAATCTTACTTCAACACCATCTTTTCTCTATGTGGACAAGGTCAAATTCAAGCGGCTTTCAAAATTTTAACTGAGATGGACAGAAGAAAAATCCCAATTGGGCCCGATATCTATGGTCTGCTACTTCAGGGATGCCTCTATGATCGTGCTCTCTTTATGGGTCGGCAAATTCACTCTCGAATTATAAAAATTGGTGATTCTCTTGCAACAAATGAGTATTTAGAGACGAAGTTGTTCATTTTTTATGCAAAATGCCATCTTTTTGAGGTTGCAAATAAATTTTTTTCTAGATTAAGTGTAAAGAATGTGTTTTCTTGGGCTGCTATTATTGGTTTGAATTGTAGAATGGGTTTCTATAGAGAAGCTTTAATGGGTCTTTGTGAGATGATAGATACTGGGATTCTGGCTGACAATTTTGTGGTGCCTAATATTTTGAAGGCATGTGCTGCATTGCAGTGGATTTCGTTTGGGAGAGGGGTTCATGGGTATGTAGTGAAAATGGGTTTTGATAGGTGTGTGTTTGTTTCAAGTAGTCTTGTGGATGCGTATGGAAAATGTGGGATTTTAGAGGATGCAAGGAAGGTGTTTGATAATATGTCTGACAAGAACGTAGTTACATGGAACTCCATGATTGGAAGTTATGTCCAAAATGGGTTCGATGTGGAAGCAGCTCGACTGTTTTCTGAGATGAGGTTGGAAGATGTTGAGCCCAATCAAGTTACATTATTGAGCATTCTTTCAGCTTCAGCTAATTTAGGTGCAGTTGAAGAGGGTAAGCAAGCCCATGCGATTGCTGTTTTAGGTGGATATGAACTGGACAGCATCTTGGGTGGTTCAATTTTGAACTTCTATTCCAAGGTTGGGCTAATCAAGGATGCTGAGTTAGTCTTTGGTATGATGCTTGAAAAAGATGCAGTTGCTTGGAATTTGCTCATTTCTAGCTATGTGCAATATGGCCAAGTTGAAAAGGCGCTTGATTTGTGCCATTTGATGAGATTAGAGAACATGAGATTTGACTCTGTGACACTGGCATCCATATTATCTGCCTGTTCTATTATGGGAAATATAGAACTTGGTAAAGAGGGGCACTGTTATTGTATTAGAAACTATCTTGTATCTGATTTAGCTGTGGCTAATAGTATGATAGATATGTATGCCAAATGTGAAAAAATTGCAGATGCAAGGCACGTTTTCAACTCTACAATGAACAAAGATCTTCTATTATGGAATACTCTATTGACTGCTTATGCAGAGCTTGGTGTAACTGGAGAAGTCTTGAAGCTGTTTTATGGGATGCAGTTGGAAAGTGTGCCACCAAATGTGATGTCATGGAATGCTGTGATTTTGGGATTTATTAGAAATGGCCAGATCAATGAGGCTCAAGATATGTTCTCACATATGCAGGCTGTTGGCATCCATCCGAACTTGATAACATTTACTACCCTCATCTGTGGTCTGGTTCAAAATGGTTTTGGCAATGAGGCCATTCTGGTATTCCAGAAAATGCAAGAATGTGGGATAAGAGCTAATCTCCCAATCATCATTAGCACGATCTCAGCTTGTACAGATGTGGCATCATTGCAATATGGAAGGGCCATTCATGGCTATATCTTAAGGCATGACTTATTTTCACCTATTCTAGTCGCAACTGCTTTAGCGGATATGTATTCCAAATGTGGAAATATGGACCAAGCTAAGAGGGTTTTGGTGTAATTTCAAGAATACATTCATACGATCTCTGCCAGTGGATTTGGTCAAGGTTTAGAAATTCTTGTGCAGCTTAAGCATCCATAGATTAGAACCAGATAAAACACACCTGCATATCCGCTTCAATGATGCTGACTGATAATATCTTGGTAAGTGAAAGTCTTCGCCTTTTATGGATGTATACTTTGAAAATCATGTCCAAAGTGTGGAGAATTATTAATTTATGATAAATCTTCTTTCTAGGTTTGGAATCCGGATGAAGCTTCAAGGTTTTCTCTCACCATGCCATGAGACACTGTGAGATGAACAAGATTATTTCTAAACAAGTTTTTAGATTTCGAACTACGTGGCCCTTTGAAATTCATATACAGCTGCCGGGAGGTGAATTTGTTCTAAAAATCAAGGTATTTAATGCAACTAGAAAGGCCTAAAGAAAAGGCTAGACGTGGCTGGAATTCAAATTGGCTGCGAACACCTTGCATTTGTTGCTCATGATGGGTCACACACCGCAACTGTGGTCGTACATGTAATTTTTGTTTTAATGTGAACTGAAATTCGTTCGAACTAGAGAAATTTCTTCCATTGAGAACAAATGAAGTGTTGTCAACTGTTCCAAAAAAAGGAGAACGTTGCCTAGTTGAAAACAGGACTACAATCACTTTGGATATGGTTATGCACAAATAGTCCAAAAACTCTCTAATGACCTGTTTTAAGTTGTTAGGTTTGGTCTTACTTTTTTTGCCGTGAACTTTAGCTTCTTCTTTTTTATATTAATGTGGATTTTTAGATCAGCTTATACTTATGTGTTCCTCAACTAATCTCACAAATCCTAAAATTAATAACTATATAAATTTTCAATGATCCTGAGTTTTGTGAAACTCGAATTAGGTTTGGTCATACTTGAACTTTGACTCCTTTTTTTAGTTGTGGTGGTGAGTTTTGTGAAACTCGAATTAGGTTTGGTCATACTTGAACTTTGACTCTTTTTTTAGTTGTGGTGGTGATAGATGACATATACAATGACAAAAAGAAAGAAGCTTGAACAATTTATGTTCAAACTTTGATAGGTAGTTGATTTAATGTTGAATCGAGTAGAATATTTTTTATAACAAGTGATAAAATAACTCTATATATTGTTAGAAAGAAGAGTGAAAAGTCGGCTAGCCTATTATACACCCTAGCTCCTTCGACCATTGACTCTCTATACAAACAAATCTTACATAACCAGCTCCATGGCCTTTATGAATAACCCATTTTTATCACTTGCCATATGGCACTTTGATATCATCATTGGTCAACACCACAGTCTTGCCACCATCGATACATTATCATACTAGTTTATCTTTCCGTATTTTGTAACAGGTTAATATCATTTTTTTAATATAAAATATATAAAGAATATTTTAAGTATCTTAGGTTTGATGACCATACAAGATTTAAGCGCCTTTAGTTTGGCCCAAGAGACTTAGGTCTAGAAACCTTGGCAAACTCGTGCCTGGGCCTGACACTGAAAATGGTTGCTAACCTATGGTTGGGTCTGGCACTAAAAATGGTTGTCAAACTCAAGCAAACAACAAACAAACCAATGATAATTGTATAATTTAGTTGTTAGGAGAGAGAAAAGAAAAGAAAAAACCACAAACAATCGATCATCGATGGCAATCCAACTATTATATATGTCTACACGCGCTGCACCATATGGTAGAGGGCATGTCTAGCATCTATCTAGACAATGGATGGTCAGATTTTGCCATTTGGAGGCGTTTCATACACCTCTTTAATGGAGCGGGTGTCGTTCTAATAGAACATGTTGAATATACGCTAGCAACTTTTCAAATAAAAAATAGAAAAGTCAATGTGAAAAAATTAAAACGCCTTTCATGGTTCTTTTAGTTACACACCATGCTCATATAAATTTCAACAACAACAACAATAACAATAATTAATAACAACAACAATAATAATAATAGTAATAACAATAGTAGTAGTAGTAATACTAATAATAATAATAATAATAATAATAATAATAATAAAGAAAAAGAAGAAGAAGAAGATGATAATGAGAACTTTGAGATGGAATATTAACGTAAAGATTTAACAACGATAACAATAAATGTCAAGGTTAGAGGATCCACTAATGGTATGTCAAACAAGTATAGTATAAACTTTTATTAGTCAATTGGAAGCCACACACAAAGGAGGTTCCAATCAGATGATAAATTGTTAACATGATTACATTAGTCATCTTATTCGATTAATGCTAATACTTGTAAATCTCGTCAAGCATTCATGATTATAACTTATGTTAACAACAAATCAAGTTCCTTTCCTAGCTCAGGTGTCGGTTATACCATACATTATGGGCTATGAAAGTGCCAAGCATTTGTTGTACCAAGTGTCATACAACATAAATTCCAAACAGTGTTCAGTGTTTGGCCCATATCTGGAGTTTTAGAAGCCTAAATGACCTAAATTGTTTACACAAGAAAGCTGAGACAATTTCCTACAACTTTTATGTTTTCAAGTGGCTCTAATTTTGACATTATCAATGATGTTTTTGGCAGATAAGAGAAGATAAAGATTGTCACCAAGTCAAGAGTTGGTCACCCACTCATCAATTAGTCATCAAATCAATAGTTCCCAATTTTGGCCTATAAAAGGAACCAGTTACCATGCATTTAGGCATCTTGGTTTCCAAATCAAGATCATGCTCTTGCTTTCTTTCTTTGTATTTTTTGTAATGTTTATGCTTTGCTTTCATTAATATCAAGTTTATGCTTTTCATTTCCTTTCATTTACTTAGTTAACTTTTATCTTATTTATGTTATTGTTTTGTTTATTTATTGTTCTTTCTTTCATTATGTTTAGTTAAGTTTATTATGTCAAGGTGAAAAGGTTACACTAATTGTGTAAGAATAAGTATAATGTAAATGATTGATACTTAAAAGTGTATTTTTATCATGGTTTTATATCATCATTTTGCACTTGAAGTATCAATAACTCCTTAACCAAAGCATGTTTTATAATAATATAACTAATAATATAAGATACCTTTAATTTATGGTAAATGTTCATTTTAAATGCAGGCCTATCACATAAATGAAAGGATTGATTGATGAATTTAAGAACTGAAATTGGAAGGACAAAGAGATGGCCAAACTTAGTAAAGAGATGTCGGTGCAATCCAAACTAGAACACTATTCGGTAATTGGGTCATATCTGGAGCTGTAGATCTTAGATTTAGGTCTACTTTATATGGATGAAAGGTAAGACATAGGCCTACAACTTTCATATGGATCCCAAGATCTAAAAAGGCCATTTTCAAGTCCAAATTGTAGCAACAACAAAAAAGTCTGAATTTATCTTCCAACCCGAGCACTGTTCAGTATTTGGCATATATCTGGAGTTCTAGAAGTCCAAATGAGTTGAATTGTTTACACAAGAAAGTTGAGATAATTTCCTACAACTTTCATGTTTCAAGTGGCTCTAATTTTGATGTTATCAATGATGTTTTTGGCAGACAAGAGAAGATAAGGATTGTCACCAAGTCAAGAGTTGGGCACCCACTCATCAATTAGTCATCAAATCAATAGTTTTCAATTTTGGCCTATAAAAGGAAGCATTTGCCATGCATTTAGGCATCTTGGTGTCCAAATCAAGATCATGCTCTTGCTTTCTCTCTTTGTATTTTTGTAATGTTTATGCTTTGCTTTCATTAATATCAAGTTTATGCCTTTCATTTCCTTTCCTTTACTTAGTTAACTCTTATCTTATTTATATTCTTATTTTGTTTATTTATTCTTCTTTATTTCATTATGTATAGCTAAGTTTATTATGTCAAGGTGAAAAGGTTACACTAATGGTGTAAGAGTAAGTATAGTGTAAACTTAATATGGGCTTTAATGTTTGATACTAACATGTTTTTTATTTGTTATCTTGTTCACTCTTTAATACTTTGCTTGTTAAATGACTAATCTTGATTTATGTTGTATAACACTTGGTACAACAAATGCTTGGCACTTTTATAGCCCATATTGTATGGTATAACTGACACCTGAGCTATGAAAGGAACTTGATTTGTTGTTAACATAAGTTATAATCATGAATGCTTGATGAAATTTACAAGTATTAGCATTAATTGAATAAGATGACTAATGCAATCATGTTAGCATTAATTCAATAAGATGACTAATGTAATCATGTTAACAATCTATAATCTGATTGGAACCTTCTTTGTGTGTGGTTTCCAATTGAATAATAAGAGTTTATACTATACTTATTTGACATACCATTAGTGGAACCTCTAACCTTGACATTTGCTATTATCGTTGTTTAATCCTTACATTGATATTCCATCTCAAAGTTCTCATCTTTTTTTTCTTCTTCTCCATCTCTTTCTTTATTACCACTACTACTACTATTTCTATTACTATTGTTGTTGTTTATAATTGTCATTTATAATTTGTACAATTAACCTCCCTGTGGTTCGACCCCAGTCTTGCCAGGTTATTTATTACTTCGACACTCTTGCACTTGGGAGAAGATATCAATCTTTTAGTCGTGTCAGTAAACTTAATATGGACTTTAATATTTGATACCAACATGTTTTGTATTTGTTATCTTGTTCACTCTTTAATACTTTGCTTGTTAAATGACTAATCTTGATTTATGTTGTATAACACTTGGTACAACAAATACTTGGCACTTTCATAGCTCATACTGTATGGTATAATTGACACTTAAGCTATGAAAGGAACTTGATTTGTTGTTAACATAAGTTAGAATCATGAATGCTTGACGAGATTTACAAGTATTAGCATTAATCGAATAAGATGACTAATGTAATCATGTTAACAATCTATAATCATATTGGAACCTCCTTTGTGTGTGGTTTCTAATTGAATAATAAGAGTTTATACTATACTTATTTGACATACCATTAGTGGATCCTCTAACCTTGACATTTGTTATTATCATTGTTTAATCCTTACATTAATCTTTCATCTCAAAGTTCTCATCAACTTTTTCTTCTTTGTTATTATTACTACTACTATTACTACTAATATTATTGTTGTTACTCTTGTTGTTATTTATAATTGTTGTTTATAATTTGTACAATTAACCTCCTTGTGGTTTGAGTTTGCCGGGTTATTTATTAC